AAAAACTGTAAAGTATGATATTTAAATATCAAAATATGTGTATTTGTTAGAAGAGTACGATTGACTCATAATTAAAATATCTAGCATAAGAATAAGAGTGTGAGCCCATAAATCACTAACATATTTAAATTCAAAGGTGAGTCAAAAGCCAATTGAAAGTGGGACTCCAACTATATACTCATGATTTTTCTTAATTAATTGCCTTTTACATGTGATACGAGAATCATAATTCATAGACCTTGCACATATATATAAATGTCGTTAAGCTATGTTGGAAAGAAGTAGGGTTTCTTCCTATATATATATCATCACTTTCACGAGCTCAAACGAGTGATCGGACAATAGCCTCGAAGCTAGTTCAAACTAGTGGGAGGTTAGGTTGTCTGCAAAAATCCACCCAAAAGACCAAAAGGAATTACAAAACATAAAACATTTATTTCAAATCAAATTGAATTTGATATGGCACGTGGCAAGATTCAGATGAGGAGGGTCGAAAATCCGGTGCACCGTCAGGTGACCTTCTGCAAGAGGCGTGCCGGCCTTCTCAAGAAGGCTAAGGAGCTTTCGGTTTTGTGTGATGCTGAGATCGGTCTTTTCATTTTCTCAGCACAAGGCAAGCTCTATGAACTTGCCACCAACGGGTACTTTAAATCTCTCTCTCTCTCTCTAATCAGAATCTCACATTCTTTTCTTTTCTATGTTAGATTATTCAACTCATGAACATAATGTCTACGCTAAGGATTTATCTATTTTGTCAGACTGCCAGACCAGTCAACCAACTGACTTACCAGATTATTTAATGAAAAAATCTGAATTGTTGATTTTGATAATAATATAATAACATGAGTAATTAATGTTTGTCGTGGTGCATTTTCAGTAACAGTGTAATTCACTCTACCAGTGTAGCATTACTCATATGTCATACCTTAATTAAGACATACATATATTTTTCTATCTACAATTATTATTATTATTATTATTTTTTTTCTGATTTTGTAATGGATTTTGTTTTTATCTTTTATCATTTATTGATTGAAGAACCATGCAAAGCTTGATCGAGAAGTACATGAAGTATAACCGGGAAATTCCGGCCGATCATGATCGGAGGGAGAAACAGCTTGTAAATATGATGGTACGTGAATTTAACATATACAATTATATATATATTGTTCTTAATTTTTTTTAATTTTGAGTGAAAATCCTAAAAGAATAAATTGTTTATATATATTCATCTTGTTTCATTGTATGATGAAGTCATTTTCAGAGTAGATCTGAGATTTGTTTTGATGAGATTTGGATGTGGTATTAGTTAGTTATTATCTATTATATCATCAAATAATTGATTATGTTAGACAGAATCTGGTGCTACCTCTTTTTCATGTTATATTAATCTCAAGCATGTTTGCTTAAGATATTATAATTGCAATAAAGCTGTCAATATTGTATCCTGCTTTTTAACGACAAAAATCCATGGGGCGGTTATTCGTGCATGTATGTCGAATATGATGTAAATTAAAATAAATAAATAGAACACCACCAAATAAATAAATAAATAAAATAGTATTATACTTTATTTGATATTAATTAGTAGTAGTTTTATTATTATTCAAATCGAGTTGCTTGCACAATCAATTCGACTCGTGAGAAGTGAAACACATATATTCATAGATAACATGGGCTCGATAGCAGTAATAATATGAGCTTGTTTATCAAAGGAGTTGACCTGAAAGTATTTATGAACAAATAATTTATTAGATATGAACAAATATATAGGTGATCATAAATTATCGGGTGAGTTGGAGTTAGATTCATATCTAACTCGGCTAAACTCGGCTAAGTTAATAAGAATATTTAGTTTGCTCGGTTAAACTCGAATGAAAATTAATATACTTTTTTTTTTGGTACAGATTAATATACTTTTTAGCAACAAAAGATTTCAAATCACCCGATAATTTATAATCACCTATAGTCCCATGCGTTTTGCCAATCCATTGTATTTATGTGGTTTTTGTTATAACCTAAACGACTTAGCACCACTCTTTCTAGTAGTATATGACGTTAATTGATCATATAATTACAAGTTATGGTTAGATTAAAATATTATTAATTATTTCAAAAGTTTGAGTAATTATTTGAAATTTCTTCTTCTTCTTTTTTTCTNCACAAAGGGTTGAGGTATATCTGATTCATATCCTAATTATGCCACTATTGAAAAATAAAAAATAATTATCACTGTATATTGTATTATGTAAAATTAAAAAGAAAATCTATTTAGTTTCTTTAATTTTGTTCTTTTTTTTTTAAGGTTTATATCAGGAGGGGTAACTGGAACAATGACTCTGGGAGAACTGAATATTCTTGAGAAACATCTTGAGAAATGGATTTATCATGTTCGTTCTGCAAAGGTATCTCAAATTAGCTATTGATCCAAAAAAAGTAATTAATTAACTTGACTGCGTACTATGATTATAAACCTAATATAATTTTGCAACTTAACCATCATATATACAGATGGACATTATGGCTCAAGAAATCCAATTGCTGAAGAATAAGGTTAGCTTATATATTTATTTCATTAATGTTATTTTATTTTATCATTAATGTTATTTATTTTATTTTACATAGAGTAGTAATTAAACGGATCAACTAAGTCTAAGTCCCAATATTATATGTTTTGAGAGTTGGTAAGTATATTGCAGTTATAACTATTAAACGAAACGAGTCTCTCATAACCTCAAATAATTATATGTTTGATAAATAGATTTTTTTTACGTAATTTTTTGAGCTTTTATCGTTTACCGGTTCGATAAAGCCTCGAGCTTAGCTCGGATCGACTAATTTACAACTCTACATACAATATGATTTTCTTTTAACTTGGTCTGCAAGAACTTGATAATTGATTTTCTCTGACCTTTAGGACTTAAACATAGCCCATAAAAAGAGAGATAATGCTTCGATACTGTATTCATTTCACTAAATTACCCATTTATGGTGTAACAAATATTTAAAAATCAACCCTAATAAAATCATTAATCAAATAAATGAATTTCTGCACACATACTATGTTGGACAGGAAGGAATACTTCAAGCAGCAAACAAACATCTCCAAGAGAAGGTATACACAGTTAAATTTTTATTTATTTATAAATAACTAGTTAATAATTTATTTTGCCTTTTACTTTAATTGAAAAAATCTTGCAGATTGATGAGCATTATGGGATGGTTGAACTGGCACCAATGCCGACTAACAACATTCAATATCCACTGACTACTAACATGCAGTACCCACTAACTATACCGAATGAGATTTATGAGTTTTAGCATATATAAATGTATATATGCTCATGATTTTCAATTTTATTTATGGACTTCTTACGGCTTGTTGTAAGAAAAATAAAGAGAATTCAGATGTGGTGTTTGCACTTTTGTGAACTTGCTAGCTAGCTAAGTGTGTGCCTTGTAACTTATCTAAATATGGTGTTACTTTTTAAGTTGTGCATCATATCATATGGTGTTATTTTTTTTTTTTTTTTTATTGTAGCTTGTGCAACATGGATCTTTTGGCAAATCAATTATCATGACAATTGTACACTAATTAGAAGAGAAATTTAAAAACAAATCCATTTCAAGAACATAAGAGTTCTCTTAAGTCCACAATGTTCTGGATTGGCAAGTACTGCTAATAGGAAAGTTGAATACAATTATATAAGTTTGATTCTTAATATAAACCTCCAAATTTGAGATTATACTAAAGTCATCATTAACAAGTAACGCTACGACATCGACTTTTGATATTTGAGCTCACTTCGTTAATAAAACAAGCTAATAAACGAGTTTGAACTCGACTTGTTTATTAAAAATAATAACTTGAACTTGAGCTTTAATGAACCAAGCTCAAGAGTTAAGAATCATGGATATTCTGTAGAATTTTTTATTTTTGAGCCTAATGAGTCTTAACAAAATTTTAATGAACATGAGCTCCATTTGTTTAGCCAAATTTAAATCTTAACAAGTCTGAACTAATTTAATCACCCGTTTCATCGAACTATTCCACACCACGTACAACTATTCAATTATTACATCACTTATAGTTACCAATTCTCACATGTGAAATCGGGTTAGGGTTTGCAGTTTTTGTAATTGGGGGAATTTGTGCGTTACGTAATTTATCTTTATCGGTCGTCTCGTCTCTCTCTCTCTCTTCCTTGCTCTCATCACTCGGTCACAAACTGGTTTGCTAAAGTCCGACAGGGGTTTGAGTAAAGGGGTTTAAGCGTCGCCATGTCTTCAACTCTGGAAATTGAAGCTCGAGAGTAAGTTTTGCTTCCCTATCTGATCATGCTCTTGTTAAAGTTAATAACAAGGTACGGCTTGCATTATTTCATTCGTTATGGATTGAAATGCTCGCAAAGCTCAGAACTTTATGAGAGATTTGAGCTTCTAAAGAACAAGTTTCTGTAATCGGAGGTAGAAGGTATATAAGATTTTTGGAATTGGGTACATTTCTGCTCATTTAGTCTAATGATTGTAATGAGAATGGAAAATGGGGTAAATTTTATTGCTGTTTAGTTAAGAGCTTAAAGGAATAGCTTACTTCTCGAAAACAACTTTTTTCACCATTTTTGTAGATTTTCTTCTGTAGTTTAAGGATGTTTTCTGTCAAAAGGGTTACTTGGATTCCATGGGATGAATATACGAATTTGTTTACTTGATTTCGCTTTATATCATGGGAACCATGTTTGTTGGACTGAGGTTGTACTAGCTTACGTTGCAAATCATGTAAATGCTATCCTTTTAAATTTAGTGCATGCGTTTCCTCCTTTCATATATTCGCTTGCAGTGTGATCAAGATTGTACTTCAATTCTGCAAAGAGAACTCCCTGCATCAAACTTTCCAAACACTTCAAAATGAGTGCCAGGTTTCTCTAAATACCGTGGACAGCCTTGAAACATTTGTAGCTGATATTAATAGTGGAAGGTGGGATGCAATTTTACCGCAACTTGCCCAGCTTAAGCTTCCTCGAAAGAAATTAGAAGACCTGTATGAGCAGGTAGGCTGAGACTTCTCTGTATTTGTTTTTATTAATTTATTTACATTCTGCATGTTGTTGGAGAATTAGAGTTCATCTTTGCCACTTGTCTGTGTATAGATTGTTCTGGAAATGATTGAACTTCGGGAGATTGACACGGCACGTGCTATATTAAGACAAACCCAGGTTATGGGTGTTATGAAACAGGAGCAACCAGAGCGTTACTTACGACTTGAGCATCTACTCGTTCGAACTTACTTTGACCCCAATGAGGTGGGGTTTTTTTTTTTTGTTCACCCTTGAGGCTTTTTTGCATCCATTTCAAGCCAAGGAAATTCATCTGAGCTTATTTGATGCTATGCTATTACAATTTAATTTGTATGTAGGGGTTTTATGTAATCAGCTACTTGATTCTTGAAGACCTTGATATTAGAACTTCTCAGTTTTAGGTTTCATTTTGTAACTGTGCCTTAGTACATTAGCTCCTCTATTGATCACTTGTTGATTAAATTTTTGATAATCTGACTGCTATGTTATATTGATTCCTTTGACATTACTGATGATTTTTGAATTATATACCTTTCTACTCTGATGGGTTGTGAAGTGATTGACATTTTACGTCTTTTGTGCAGGTGTATCAAGACTCAACGAAGGAAAAAAGACGTGCCCAAATTGCACAAGGTTTTTCCTCAGTGTATTTTATTTAATCATCGGCATGTTTTGATGTCAAAAAGACCCCAGTTGATGGAAAATTTAATGGCACAACACTGTTTCACTTTTATTGGAGTTCAAGATGGGATGATTTTTTTGTAAATGTTTACTCTCTCACTCCCCACCCCAGCCCCTCCCCTTTCCTGGTATTTTATTTGTTTATATGCTCTCACGTACAATCTTCAACTATATTTCAGCTGTTGCAGCAGAAGTTTCTGTGGTTCCACCTTCACGATTAATGGCTTTGATTGGTCAAGCTCTGAAGTGGCAGCAGCATCAAGGTCCCGTTATAAGAACTTCTGTATATATGTGGATATGTTTATTATGACCAGATGTGTTTGATGACCTCATTTTATTTTTAATTTTTAATTTTTTTTTTTGTGCCAGGTTTACTACCACCCGGAACGCAATTCGATTTGTTCAGAGGAACAGCAGCCATGAAACAAGACGTCGAAGATATGTACCCAACAGCTCTTGGGCACACTATAAAGGTAAGTCATACATATAAGTTGCATCTGGATACTGGTTTTAAATTTTATTTGTATTTTACGTACAATGTTCTTGTTTAATTTGTATCTCACGGACGTGGTATGCTCATTATGTGTTAGATTTCGTGTTGCAACTTGCTCTACTATTTCCCTTTTTTTGTGTGATTGGCACTTTGGCCTCGCTACTGAACTTTCTTTTTTCATGATATTCATTTTAAGGCTTTGCGTTTCTCATGCTGTTACCACATATGCCATTGTACCTTGACTGCAGCTGGTGATTATTCATTGCAGTTTGGGAAGAACAGTCATCCTGAATGTGCTCGGTTCTCTCCAGATGGGCAGTTCCTTGTTTCCTGTTCGGTTGATGGATTTGTCGAGGTAATTTATTGAACTTCCTACATGATACTGTTTGATTTAAACTGTTGGATGATATTGTCGGTATGCTCTAGGTCTGGGATCATATAAGTGGAAAATTAAAGAAGGATCTGCAATACCAGGCTGATGTAAGTTGTTTACATCTTTTTTCATTCTTCTATTCCTAAAACTTTTCAGATTACTTTGTTACCCTTCTTGTCTTAGGTGTTGTGATGTATATGATATAACCCAGTTTAGTTGAATACTTAAACTCCATGTGTTTTCCTGTAACAGTGCTCATCCTTTCCATATTTTTTTTTTTATTTCTTCTTCTCTAACAATCCCATGCTATAATTACCTGGAAAATATTATAATCCGTCCATATGAATATCTATGGTGGCCTGTGTATATTGGCAATGACATTTCAATTGGTTAGGTGCACTTAATACTACATTTCTGGTACTTTTGTGTTCTATGCACTAAATGGTGAGGAACTTGGCAGGAAACATTTATGATGCATGACGAGGCTGTCCTCTGTGTCGACTTTAGTCGAGACTCTGAGATGCTTGCTTCTGGATCACAAGATGGGAAAATAAAGGTAAGGCTTGTTGTAACTCTAATGGTCTTGTCAGGTCAATATACCTGTGTATTACACATAGAGGAGAACGAAAGAACACAAAGAGAAGAATAAGGAGAAACTGAGCTAGTTCAGTTCAGGAGAAACAAAAGTAAAAAATTGTTTGCACTTCAAATGCTGATAACTTGCAGCTGTCTACTTTGTTGATGGGCCTGATCTCTCATTCGTGGATTTGACTCGCAATGTGATCTAATAAAATGTTAAATATTAACTTTTTTATATCTGATTACAGGTTTGGCGTATCAGAACAGGTCAGTGCCTGCGTCGTCTTGAACGTGCTCATTCTGAAGGTGTCACTAGTGTCAGCTTCTCTCGAGACGGGACCCAGTTGCTAAGTACATCATTTGACAGCACTGCACGGTTTGTCTGAACTTATAATTACGACAAAACGTGGAAAATAAAAACCTCCTTGATTCATGAGTCATTTTTTTTTTCTGAAATTTGGCAGAATTCATGGCTTGAAGTCAGGGAAGATGCTAAAGGAATTTCGTGGCCATACTTCTTATGTTAATGATGCCATCTTTACTGCTGACGGTACACGTGTCATAACTGCATCTAGTGATTGCACGGTGAAAGTAAGTGAGCTTTATTTGTTATCAATTGGAGACAAATTTTAGGCATCCATTGAACTTTCCGGTTGTGATATATGTTGATAATGGGATTCAGGTTTGGGACGTGAAGACTACAGAGTGTCTGCAGACGATTAAGCCTCCACCTCCTCTGAGGGTAATTTTCTTATCTTTTCTGGCATCACTTATTTTTCCCCTTAGTTTTATAATAGAGAAGTTTTCTAAACCATTTTTCCTTCGTCATTTGTGTTTTATCTGCTACAGGGAGGTGATGCTTCTGTTAATTCAGTTCATCTTTTCCCTAAAAATGCCGATCACGTAGTTGTCTGCAACAAGACATCTTCAATATATATAATGACACTCCAAGGGCAGGTAATCAATCTTTATTTCTTCGCTTTTGAAAAAAGCCCCAAAAGAAAGGAAAATGTTGGGAAAAGAGGAAAAGGGACAAATAAGTTGGAAGTTTACAGAGTAGCTTGTACTTTGATCACGGGTGTCCTTATATTTATTTAGTTGCCATATGTTCTTATTTATTTAGTTACTTATTTTGTGAAGGTTGTGAAAAGTTTCTCATCTGGTAAAAGAGAAGGCGGAGATTTTATGGCTGCTTGTGTATCGCCTAAAGGGGAATGGATCTATTGCGTTGGTGAGGACAGGTATTTTCTCAATTCGTGGTCGTAGTAGAACAATAATTTGATTAGTTCATGTTAAAATACACTTATTTGCATTTGAAAACAGTTCTCTTTCATCTCTTCTGGGGCAACAACAACAATAGCCTGATATAGCGCCTGTCTTGATGGTCGACTGGATATTAGCTAGTCACTTTCCCTCTTCAATTTCCTTGATACAAATATCTAACCAAAATCTATCACTATTACGGTTTTTCAATAAAATTTACTATCTGCTCACAATTTCTAACGACCAGACCAATAATTATTTTACTATTTTTCTTTCGCATCACATTTAGTCATTACCTTTTCATCCTAAATTATTTCACATTATAAATATAAATAATTTTATCTCAAGTCTTTTTTCCCTATAGAGAATATTTTTTCAGATGAAAGCATATCCAGTCACACCGTATAGACTTTTTCCTGATATTTTTTTTCTTCAATTTATCATGAAAAACTGTGTGTGTGTGTGTGTGTGTGTTTGTGTGTAATTGACATTTGGGCATGATGATTGCGCAATTGTATATTGACCATTATACTTTAATTATATGCAGAAATTTATACTGCTTCAGTTATCAGTCCGGCAAGCTTGAACATCTAATGAAGGTAAGATAATTACTTAAGCTTAATCATCCTGCATTGTCATATTCTTCTGGGGTATAAGGTCTCCAGGTGCCAAGTGATATTTACAAGATTTGAAAATTGCGGAAATGCCCCGATATTTTATAGAAACATATGATTTGCAATTTCTAGAACCTATGGGCTTCACTCTGTAATTGCACCAAGTCGCAGGGTGTCTTTCTGTTATTATACAAGAATTCTGATTCCATGTTGGATCATTGACTCCGATTTATTTATTGATTATTATGTTTAAAAAAAAAAAATCTTGTATTGGCAGGTACACGAGAAGGATGTGATTGGACTTGCTCACCATCCCCATGTAAACCTCGTCGCCACTTATGGCGAAGACTGCACAATGAAATTGTGGAAGCCCTAATTAATAATTCACTAAAGTTTGTCACTGAGATTTTTTTTTTACTTTACAATGAGCAGTATCTCTTGTAGATCTCAAATGTATTGTACTCTTTTAAGCCAAAAAAGAAAGGAAAAGTAAAAAGATAGTGCCAATTTTTGCTTACATTGGAGGGGTTACTTCATTTGCTCGATATAATTCTTATTGGATCTAAGCCGTTAGGTGACATGCACACACATATACCATGCGAGTATTTGTTGAACTAACGGCTTAGACCGTTGAAGGGTGAAATTAACCTATTTGTTGGTGTTTTGGTAATCGTTGGATCTTTTATGACATCACATAGTTAATGAAGGCAATTATCTCAACTGTTTTTTGCCCATGCAAATATTGAATGATGTGTAGATAGATTTGATTTAAACAAAGTCAAACATTTTTCTCTTTTGAGCAGCCATTGGTTTTTCTGGGGAAGACATATTTTGTCCATTTGTTGAAAGTATAATTAAATGCGGATGGAAGTTGGAAGGATAATGGACTCAATTTGGCCGCCCAAAGCATCCAATCATCTTTTTTTTCTTCTTCTTCTTTTTCTTTCTTCCATATTAGTTTTAAATTTGTGCTAATCTCTACATTTTCCACCTTCGTTTGTGTTGTTTGCACCATTGAATTTGAGTTTTATTAAATTTTTCATGTTCGTGCTGCTCGTGTCGTATTTTGAATCATACTGTGTTTATTGTGTCATTTATCTCAACAATTGGGAGAATAATAGTCAAATAGACAATTAAAGACTCCTATAATTTCTACCCTTATTATAAAAAGTATGTATATGTTTTAGGAAACTCGCAAATGAAAGTGTTAATCACTAATAACAGCATTTCATGTAGTATCATCTATGGCAAAGGAGCTCACTCTATAGTCTATACACCACTAATTTGGAAAAATAAAATATTCAATCATAGATAGAAAAGACAATAATAATGGCCATTGGCTCCAAAATTGTTACAAGTCAAACTTGGTTATCCCGTAGCAACTCAAAGTAAGAATTGAAGTGATGTGAGACAATTTTTTTTTTTAAATATACACATNTAATAATAATAATAATAATAATAATAATAATAATAATAATAACAATAATCTATATCTATATCTATACTAGTCTAAAAGGACGAGTGCTTTTGTAAAAATATGAACTACCTAAGAAACCCCTTACTTTGACATATTTTTAATGACAAATTAGTAATACAATAATACACATCATATTTTATATTTTTAAATATAAAAATAAATTACCTAACAAATCCTTACTTTGACATGTTTTTAATGGCAAATTAGTAATACACTAATGTCCATCATATCTTATATTTTTAATTATACCTAATATGCAATTAATTAAATACAAATACATGAACAAATCGCTCCACACTCCTAAAATCAACTACAATATGTTGGTTTGGCACCAACATATTTTTAAAAAAAGCTTTGATAATTTTGATTTTGAATAACGTTTTATTTGCTATTAGTTTTTTAATATAATATATAAATACCATATTATATATATACAATAATACTTTTTATTATTTGATATTTAATGTGTAATTTAATGTGCAAGAAATGTAACTCGATCGATAAGTTAATAGGTAGTCTTGCAATAAAATAATGAGCGATTTCTAAAAAAATATATGGATTAAAAAGTTCATGTGTATATTTTTAATAGAAAAATTATAAATACATCTAATTAATAACAAAAACTCCTACATAAAAAATATAATTTATAAAGGAACAAAAAAATGTTACATTGCAATGAAAAATCCAACGGTAAGACATCCACTGAAAATTCCAAATGATAATTTATACGTATAGTTGTCATTGTAAAATTTCATTGACTATTCCAACAGAGATCAAATTACATTATATTAAAATTTCAGTGGATTTAATTAATCCAATTATCATTATTATTGTGTGAATTTCCGTTTGAATTTTTTTCGGGTCATATTTCAACAGTTGAAAAAAATGTCACTGGAATTGTAAAAATTTCAATGGAAGTTATATTCAAAATCTACCTGCAGTAGTGGACATAAAATAATTTCATACTTGAGTCATTATTTAGTTAATACAAAATGTATACCATTAAAATAACATAAAGTCATTATAATTTATAAATTATATTTTTCATAATTTGTCATCTCTCTCATTTATAATACATGTTACACATCAATACAGTTACAATTAAAAAACCATAACTTTTGTCAATTCAACATAAGTAAATAATTGAAAATAATTATGTTTTGTAAAATTTTATGAACAAAAGTTGACTCGACAATATTATTGATGAATTTATGAATTATAAATATTTAATTGGAATATAAATTAAAAAAATTGTAATTAAATATAATATAATATAAGATATACAAATAATTGATATATAATGAGACAGATGATCAAAAATATTCTAGACTTTATATTATGCATTTTTTGACAAATCTACAGTTAAGAACATGTAAAAGAACAAGATAAAAGTTTAAAAAAATATTAAATATGATAAATAATATTAAAAATAAATAAGTTGTGACACGTACAAATAAATATGGAACAAACTAATAAATAAAAATGTTATAATTAATAGAAGAAATATAAACCTTTTATAAATATACTTATCGACGTAAACGAGCAAAGTTGTTAAACGCTTGTTAGTTTTTTGTCCTTATAATTGTATGTGTAAATTTGATGTGATAGACAATAGTTATTTGTACATTTATCCATGTAAGTTACCAAAAAAAATATTCTTTGTTATTCTAATTTTAAATAACTTTTGTTTGCTATATTAGTTTTTTTTAATATAATATATAAATACCATACTGAACCTATAAAATAAGAAATATTCTAATTTTTAAATATTTAATATGTAAGAAATGTAACTAAATTGGTAAATTAATAGGTAATCTTGAGATAAAATAATGAGTGATTTCTGAAAAAAAAAAATATAGGAACTAAAAAGTTCATGTGTTTAATATATTTTTAATAGAAAAATTATAAACACAATTAATCAATAAATACTACATAAAATATTAATGTTTAAGAGGACTACAACAAATTGCTATATTGCAATGAAAAATTCAACAGTAAGGTATTCTACAGAAAATTCCAACGAATATTTCATAAATATTGCTTTCATTGGAAAATTTCAATAGCTATTCCAACAGAGTTCAAATTAAATTACATGAAATTTAGTGGATTTAAAGATTTTAATTACTTGAATTTCCATTGGAATTTTTTTTGGACCATATTTCAATCGTTGGAAAAACTGTTATTGGAATTGTGCAAAAATTCAATGGAAATTCCATTGGAAAGCTAATTGCAGTGATAGATCCAAAATAATTTTATATTTGGGGCATTATTTAGTTAATAGAAAAAATATACCATCAAAATAACATGTTGTAATTTATAAATTATACTTTACATAATCTATCACCGTTCTCATTTGTAATATATTTTAATAAATCAATACAGTAACAATAAGATAAAAATATTTAAGAAACTAAAAGACGTGATTTTTCTCAATTCAACTTAAGAAGATCGTTATATTCTTGTTGTAAGTTTTNATAAAAAAAAATTGCATTATATATAATATTGTGTGCAACTATTATTATGAAAAATTTGATATGATAAAAATATAAGACATTCAATGTAATTGTCGTTGAATTTATGATAATAAGTAATTCTTGTTTCAAAACAAACAAGATACTTTGAAAGGTCCTTAATTATTTTAGTATTATAATAACTAAATAAGGGGTAAGAATGATGAGAAAACTTATAGCTCTCATTAAATGCAAGAGTAAAAATACTGATAAAATTACTTAATGTACAATATCAATTGGAGCTGGCTAATGAGAAATATAAAACATACTTAAGATATACATATATTTTAACTAGAACTTTTACGTACATAATATATATATATATATTTAAAATTGGGTATGTTAATCTTAAAATTTTTTAGTTAAAAATTTAATTATTTTCTATCATTAAATTTTTTAATTTTGAAATACTTCATATTTTTTATTTGTTACTCTTTTTATATGTAATATATCACATCATTTCTTTTCAATAATTTTTGAGTTGACCAATATATTGCAAATAAAATAAAAATAATATAATTATTTATATCGATATACACACACACACACACACACACACACACTATATGACTACTAATTTAAAAATAATAAATTGACCTAAAATTATCGTATATATTAATTTTTTTATTCAAGTTAAATCAATTTTATTAAGTATAAAATAACATAACATAAACTTGTGGTATATTTTACTTACACAGATTTGAAACAATTCATATTAAAAAAAAATAAAAAAAATGGAGGTAACTTACAACTATTCCCACGTTTTGGCTAGAGCGCCTATTCCCGATATATATTTGACACTGGTTTGCCGTAATGCTGAAACCATGGCGAATGCACCTTAGGTACAACGAAGCGAAGCGAAGCGAAGTCAAAGATAAAAGAAGGAAACGACTAGGCCAGAGAAGGGAAATGAGATAATATTAGCTATGTGAATTAAAAAGACAAATAAATGAGTTGTACGTTAAACTATTATTTAATTACTGCTTGAAAAAGAACCCTATAATGGTGGTACCATATATGTATTCAGTGATTATGAAAATGACTTAGTTACCTAATATTTTATCAAACATTAGAAAAAATTGTAAACTTTTTAACCTAATAATTCGTATAAAAAATACATTTTTATCAAATATATTACATTTACATTGTATCTTATGTGATTATTGTAATTGTAGCCTAATAAAAAAGATAATTTGAAAACATCATTATATAAAACACATACAAAAAATAACGCAATACATATAAATATGCTTTAATTATTTAGCAAATAAAATATTATTTCTCTATAGAATAAGAAACAAATAATATAATTGTAATACAATGAGAAAAAGAATACGTGTGAATTTTCTTAGAGAAGTATGAATACCAATATTTACAAACAAAAAGTCTTTGAAAATGACTACTTTTTTGTTGCTAGCGTTTAAATATATGGACTCTGTAAAAAATTGGTTTTCATAAATAATAATCCTATATTATTTATTTTTAATTTTAAATAATTACAAAATTAAAAAATTTGTAATACATAATGTATATTTTAATCATGACTTCATAATAATAAACTTTGCAGATGACTAAGAGTATCGTAATATTATTCTCCTATCAAATATTTTAACAAATGATATGTTTCTCAATATTTTCTCATTGTTTTGATTGTTTTGTTTTGTCATTGTTGGAGAATAAATAAATGACCTTTATCTTGAATTTTATAATCATTTGTATGATGAATAATGTTGGACAATAAAAGCATTAAATAAGTTATTAGGCACACAAATATTGCATATTCAAACGAATGTGAAAAATATTATGATAAACAATTCTAAAATCATTGCAACAATTATGATGGTCAATAATTTTTAAATAATAGATTATATTGTTCGTCTATATTCCAAATAAATAACAATGTCGGAGTATCAAAATAGTTTTGAATGTTCGAATGAAGTTGTCACTTTTTATAGAAATATTTATAATCTCATTGGTGTATTGTACTCGAACATATGTGCAATTACTTTAGAGGTACTTTCAGGTAATGTATGATGATTTCAAAAAATAATTTAACACCTCGGGAGAAGTACCTGTAACCAAAATTTTGAAAAGTTAACTTTTATTTGGAGATAAAATTCATTCCCACCTCGTGGGGCGATGCATCAATGGAGTAGGCACCAATATGTCTAGAGACAGAGGAATGTAGTAGTTCATACAATGATAAAAAAATACCAGCAATTTTAATACCACGGTTAGTTATTTCATAGAGATATTTATACATTGTTAGTAGAAGTACCTTATTATAAAGATTATACGATCATGAAGTTTGACTCTATGTTAGGTCAGAATGTTTCTTAAGTGTTTGAATAAAATTAGCGTTAATTTTGCCAAATGAATTAAGAGGAATTTTGCAATAGTATTGATGTATTGGACTCTAGCGAGTATGAATGTTTCTTATGAGAAAGATTGAAAGAAAATATTAGTGTTTTTTATATTAAGTATTTGTTTTTCATATATTTTAGTTGGGAGTTGTAAAACGTTATTTCACTCTTTTTATATGAAGACATCATTATGTTAATTCTAAATAAAAAAATCACATGTGAATTCATTTGTTCTATATTTTATTTCATTCCTGGAATGATATATTTAATAAATAAATTAATTTATTTTACAAACTTACTCTGCAAAAATCATTTGATACCACGTGCATCGCACGTGCACTTTACTAGTATAAATAAAAGTATGATATTTCATAGTATAAGTACGCATTTTTATTAAAAAAAATTGATGGGTTAATCCACTTAACTGTTAAACTGTTTGTAACAAGAATTTGTGTTATCCAAGATTGTTACACAGTCAAAAGAGGAAAGAAAAACGAGAGAGCAACTTTTATCTTGTTGACCTTTGGTTTTTGAATTTTCTTTTTAAAAAACAAAATAGACACATAAAATTATTGCATGTATTTACTTCAAGAATCACCATACAGGTGAGCATAATTACTCTACCCCCAACCACCCTTTTTCTCTGCCTATTAAAAACCTTCTACTATACCACCATACACAATTTCACTTCATCATTTTCACACACATACACAGACAGCTTGAAGTAAGAAAAACAATGTCCAATAACAAGCTGTTCTTGAATTCAAAATTGGTCTTTGTGGCTTTCTTGGTATTGAGTTTCAAAAATGCAGATTTAACAAGTTGCCAAGAAAATGATGATGATAATGGAGTTAGCAACAGAAGGGCATTAGTTCCAGCCATGTTTGTGTTTGGTGACTCTTTGATAGACAATGGCAATAACAACAATTTGCCCTCTTTAGCTAAAGCAAACTATTTCCCTTATGGCATTGATTTTAAAGGTGGCCCAACTGGGAGGTTCTCTAATGGCTACACTATGGTTGATACCATTGGTAAACACTTTATTCTTGCAGATTAACAGTTAAAGTTTGTACCTTTATTGTGTTTTCTTGCAGAAAAAGTGGACATTCTATTTAAGGGATTTTCATAAATAAAAGCCACCCTGAAGTTTGGAGTAGTTTCAAGAATTCCCTATACTTATCTGTATTTTTTTAACTAAAGTTGCACTTAATGTTAACTCTGTTCTTTTTTTCTTTTTCTTTTTTTTTTTCTATTTTTCATTGATTTAAAAACAGCTGAATTGCTTGGGCTGCCATTAATTCCTGCATATTCTGAGGCCTCTGGTGATCAAATGAGATATGGAGTTAATTATGCATCTGCAGCTGCCGGCATTCTTGACGATACCGGCAGAAATTTTGTGAGTGTTCATATATTGTTGTAAATATATATTATATATATATATGTATATATATAAAGCTGTATATAGTATAGAAATGCACATCTAGTAGTTTAGAAATTTACTAAAAATATCTCTTTTCTATTGAGGGTGTTGTGAATTTGTACTAGCTTAAAGGTGCTTTTCTAAGTTAGTTGAAAAATGACTGGTCCAAGTGTAGATTTTGTATGTGTTCCCCTGCATCATATGTGTGCTAAATTTAGTTTTGCAATAAATATTCATATTGGTCCATTAATTCATCAACACTTGTTTTATTTCATGCAAGACAACATTTCTTTTTTCAATACATATGAGTTTATTATGTTGTTAATTTTTTTTTTTTCTTTTTGTTTTTTGATGATGATATTCAGGTTAGCCGAATCCCATTTAATCAGCAGATCAAGAATTTCGAAAACACGCTCGACCAACTAACGAACAATCTTGGCGCTTTGGAACTTGCACAAGCCTTGTCCAAGTGCATTTTCTTTGTAGGCATGGGAAGCAATGACTATCTCAACAATTACTTAATGCCTAATTACAACACGAAAAATCAGTACAACGCTCAACAATACGCCGATCTTTTGTCTAAACAGTACTCCCAACAGCTCACCGTAAGATACACAACTAAAACTACAAAATGACCCTTAAAGTTTGGCATAATTGCTTTTTAAGTCCTACATTTTTGCTTGTTTATGCAGAGGTTATACAATCTTGGAGCTCGGAAGTTTGTGATAGCTGGACTTGGGCTTATGGGCTGTATTCCTAGCATATTAGCTCAAAATAACAATGGAATTTGTTCGGAGCAAGTAAATCAACTTGTTCTCCCGTTTAACACGAACACAAAAGCTATGATCAATAGCCTTAGTATTAATCTCCCGGGCGCGAAATTTTCTTACATTGATATTCGTAACATGTTCGGAGATCTTCTTGCAAATGCCAGATCATATGGTACAAATTCCAAATTATGCCGAATTTTGACATAAATGAATTTTCTTCGTACAAATTCCAAATTATGTTGAATTTCGACATAAATGATTTCTTTTCGTAATTTTAAGTCAAACTGTTTGCAGGTTTTCACGTGGTAAATCGAGGTTGTTGTGGTATTGGGAGGAACAGAGGGCAAGTAACTTGCCTTCCTTTTCAAACTCCATGTGCCGATCGAAAAGGATATATATTCTGGGACGCGTTTCACCCGACTGAGGCTGTTAATGTCTTGTTTGGCAAGAGAGCTTTTAGTGGGAACAAGGATTTTGTTTATCCCATGAACATACACCAACTTGCCAATCTTTGAACTTGTTGTCCAAACATTGCCTTGTTTGTTGTCTTTGTTTTGCTCTTCTTTTCTGTGAAATGTGTGTTCTCTCTTCTGTTTTTGTAAGCAGAGGTGTAGGAAAGAAAATTGATCTGACATGAGCTACTATAATTTTTATATATGTATTTTGATTTGCTGTTTTGATTTACATGTTTGTTTAAAATAATGACTTAGATGAATGAACCATATTTTGTAGTATCTTAACAGATGTAATGAAATGACTTGCCTCATGAAATTAAATGGGAAGAGATAAAAAGTTAAAACAAAAGATTAATTTTTTATCAGGCTGATGTTTAATTTGCTCAACATAATTTTTGAAACTGGATGAAGTTTTACATTTTTGAGTTAATGTTGACAACAAGAGTTGCAGAATAAGGTGTTATGAGATTTATTTGAAATTGGAAAAATGTCTAGTGGCACATAGGATTTGGATCTAGAAAATTTTCATTACAAGAGCTGAATTTTTTAACATTGTGTCATCATATGATTTGAATTTTTGTATGTTTCTCAATTAATGATTTTATTTTTAAATCATTTTCAACTGGAGGATCACTTTTACATTTTAGTTTTCAAATTAAGACATCAATTAACTTTATTGAAATAATTTTGGTAACCATTTTTTTTTTTTGGAATTTATAATTANTCTAAATATTATTTTTATTAATAATATAAATATGTAATAACGTTGGGAAATAAACTATTTTAGATAGGCTATTTGATTGATAATATAAATATGTAATATTACTTTGATTCGTAATATAAATTGTAATAAAATAATATTTAATCTAAATATTATTTACTTTTTTATAATTTGAATGTTGCTTCAAATTAGATTTTGTTACAAATTATTTTCCATTTTAGTGTCATTTCAATTCTATCCATATAAAAAATCTTACATAATCCCTCAATTAATTCACAAAACACTCTAATCTCTCTTAAATTATCATAATTTTGAAAGAGCATTTGGTAAATTACAAAATAGATAACCCAATATATCTTATTTGGTATCTTATTCTAAATACATTGCTTAATATATATAATTCCAATTACAGTAAACACAATTCCTATAACAAGATTATGACTAATTTTTTATCAATTGTGAAATTTAATTTGATCAGATTGAAAACCTCTATATAAAGGCTGCTCCTTGCTCAACATGACCATAACTCACACCATCTCATTCAATTTAAAATATATTTTCATTGAGCACAACTACTCAATTAAAGAAGATGAAAACCTCTGCAGTGATCTCTGTGCTTTGCCTAGCAATCCTCCTGTCTTTGTTTACTCCCTCTCTTGGTAATTAATAAAGCCGAGCTTGAGAATTTCGAGCTCATGTTCGAATATTGTTCGTGTTCGTTTCTTTATTTATCGACCAAAATTCGTGTTCGAATAATTTAGTAAATAAACTTTTGAAAATTTGTTTAATTAACTCTAGATCTTTTCGTTTTCGAGATCAGAAAATAAAAAAAAAAAAAATTATATTAAATTAATGTTCACTAACAAGTCCATGCTCGTTCGAACTTGGCTCGATTAACAAACGAACGAGCGAGCAAGCTCGGACGAGTTTTTGTTCGCGAACGGTTGAGTGTTGTTTCACATTTAATTTCAATTATTGGAATCTATTTTATTTAATTTGCAGGGCAAGCACGAAATTATTGTCCGGCCCCTCCTATCCCTAGAGAAGGCGCATGTGGTAAAGATGGGCAACGAGATTGTTTCTTTTTGGTAATAGGAAGGTACGGAGCGAGCCAAAGGCCCACAGAGATACGATGTGTGGATCTTGGAAACAACAAAAGCCAATGCACAAGCTACATTATTTGTTCTTAACTTTTTCTTGGCTATTTTTAGTTCTGAAAAATAAAGGGGTTATTGCCTCATTGGGAATAGATGTACGGTATAAATCGGTCCGATTTTATATAAATCGGATTCTGTTATTTGATCTGAAAATTGATGCTTAGTTTTCTATAAAACCGGTCCGATTCTATAAAAATTTAGTTCCAAACTCCTGATTCTATATAAGCTCTCTCATTTCGTTTTCAGTTCTATAAATTTTTACATAATACTCTCTCATTTCTAATTTTATCATTTGTCACCTTTCTTTTTAATTTTATAAAATCTATTCTAGTTATAAAATATTGAGTGCTCGTGGTGGTGGTCGTGCCGGTGATCGGCCACCACAAAACTGTAAAAATGTAGGCGAACCTTCTTCTTGTAAACCACCATTGATGATGCCGAGACAGACGGTATACCGGGGCGTTTCGGGTCTTCTTGTATCTCTATGTTTAAGGGTACAGAAACTGCCCCAAAGGTTTTGAGGTGTTTACAGAGACAACATGGAAGTTTTACATTTTACAAAGAACTCCAAGAGGATTGGTTCCAACTTCTGCCATAAAACTTTAGGGGTTCAATGTAATTTTTGTATAAAGGAGGGTTCATTCATTATTTAATTATATTTTTTGAACTAAAGAAGGTTTCTTTTTAATGACCAGAATACCCATGATCACTTGTGATTACACTACAACATTATTAACCCGCTCTATATATATATCCTTCATCCTGCCTTTTCGGGCCAGCCCAGCATCCCAATCAGGTCACTCAAGGCCCGACATGCGTCAAAACTTTCTTGTATCGGCCTATCGGGCAATGGGGGCAGTAAACATTGTTCAACCATTGTGGTTTAGCTATAAACTCAACATGCCTTATACTCTGGGGTTTTATTGAGTTCATTCCTTACGGCAAATGAAGGTAAATCGGAGTTCTTTTGAAGAGATACAAAATACACCTTTTGCGTCCAACAAAAAATACCCAAACAAAACAGTTCGATTGAAAAAAATTCTTATATAGCTCCGCCAAATACACAACAAAAAATGTTCAACAATTCGAGACACAAAATGACAACATTAATAATATGACAATTATATATACAAAAAAGATGCGTATATCAATCCATTAGTCTCTCTACTATAACAAGACACCTGAGCTCGATCAAAGCTCGAGAAAAAAAAAAACGTCTTTTTTTTTCTTCAACAACCCGACAAGAATTTCAAGAATCAATCGTCAAAATAAAAATCCAATCTACTAATTCTAAAATCTATAGCCAGAACCTGAAGATGGTGGGGCAGGCGGCAAACGGTTAGGCGTGCGGCGACTGCCCGAGTTCGACCCATAGCTGACATCACCATTCTGGGAAGGGTCACTGTTCCTGCGACTGTGACCGTTGGATCTCGAGTCCCCAAACGAATCTGATCGCCCATTTGCAGCAGCATCGAAAGCAGATCTCCAATCGTCCCCAGACGATGGACCCATAGCGGTTGGACTATTTTCTGCCAAGTGGGATAAGGAAAAATTTAACAAACTGAAATGGTACAGAAATAAATAATTCGACACCTGGGGGCATCATAGTCATTTCTGCTAAGAGGGTCAGAAATGGTATATATATTGGCATTTGTCTGTAAATAATTCGACGCCTGGGGGAATTATAGTTATTTGGGCATTTTTTGGACTGAATGGTCATTTTGGTGATGGGATAAAAAATTCCACCCCCAACACCGGATGGAAATTATCGGCCAACGGATTATATGCACGTGGGCCACCACATGCCCCATAGGACAAATCCCGTGTAGAGTCAAAGCTTGTAAACGACGGATAAGGTTGGTGGATACCTTTATCAGTAAACGAGGCCTTACAGAAATTATTTCTGCTAAGTGGGATAAGGAAATTTTTTAACCCAAACTGAAGATAACAACATTTTCAGAACTACTAAGACCAACAGATCACTGATTTATCTGATTACTTTCCTTACACTTTTGTCTACCATTTTCATTATCTTTTTACAGATAAAAGAAAACACACACACACACATACACATCTGATTCATCTTAGTCAATGATTGCTACAATCAAATGGAGTTGCCTAGCAAGTCAAGGGTAACATGATTTCATTTCAAGGCTATATCAGGGGGATGTACATAATGATGGATCCAAATATTTTGAGTTTATAATAATATCATTACCTGCTCCAACACCATTGGAGTAGCTGGAAGCTGCAGCGGCTCGATTGTCATGGATGCTGAGTTGTCTTGTCAGCTTGGAAAGAAGGGAGGACTGTTTTTGGTAACGTTCTCTCCTCCGCTTCACATTCTGGTCCTCCTGAAGGAGCTCTTCTATCTTTGCCATGCTTTGTGCACTGTCATTATCCAGATTCATTAGATTTAGTATAGTTTAAGTAAAATACTTGCTGTCGAGTAGTAGCATCACCCCATTGGGTGCGCACGAAAAAAAAAAAAAAAATTCACCTGACAGAACTGTACAACTTATTGAGCATGTCTTCTTTCGCCTTCTCAACTTGGCATAAGACAACTGCCTGCAGAAATTACAGATCATAAAATAAAACAGTCAGTTCAACTTTGTAAGTGTTGTAAAAAATAGGAAATAAAATTTTCATTGATAGTGGACCTTTGGGACATTGGCAGCAAGACTGTTAAGAACAGCTTCAACATAACCACGCACTTCCTGAGCCATCCATCTAAGTTCTTCTTCTGGATCCACAGGTCTTCTGGTCATTGTTTCCTGACAAATGAGAGGATAAGACTTTAGGCCAATGTTTTCATACCTACAGACAATAATATAGAGGGATAAAAATAGAAGGAAAAGAAGTGTTGAAAGTTTGTCCTATCCACCAGTCAAACAAACAAAAACAAAGTCAATGAAATGTTTTTTAAAAAATATATATCATTTATGTATGATGAATATGATAAGGTCAGGGAGTTCATGGAAATTACAAGAGAACCATCAGAATGACTTTGCCGTATTGGAGGGCCAGACTCGCTCTTCACTTGACCTCCTTTGGCACTGATGACATTTCTTAATTTATTGAGCCACTCTGTCTTGTCTGCCATACTCTCAGCCTTCAAAAGAACAGCACTATGGGCTGCAGAGATGAGGAAGCGTCTAGTTAAATTTTTTTCCGCAAATTAATAATGAAAAATAAGCCTTAGTGGATGACACAAAATATAAAGTGCAGTACCTTTCAGGACAGTCTTATACTGAACCCTGCTTGTTAACTTGAAAACAAGACTAGGTGCTTTTGCTGCATCAGGACCATTAGCCTTTTTACCTTTAGAACTCTTTGGAGGAGCTTCTTCTTCTTCTTCCGAAACTTCTTCCAAATTACATTCCTGAATAAATTTACCAATACATTACAACACAAATTCAACTTCAAAGCAATCTTCCACATCAAATCAGATTCAAGAGAACAATAACTGACATCAGATTCCTATGTGTTCATTACAGTTCAGCATGGAGGCTCTATATACAGTATAGCCTAATGATACCTCTAGAGTGATGACACCACGAAAATGCCTTTCTTCTTGTTTCTTCGTATAACCAAGCTGCATCATAAGAAAACAACAATAAGAAAGGAGATATATTAAAAGGCAGACGTAAAACCAATAACTATAGACAGTTCACTTATTTTATTCTCAAATGTGAACCATACTTATTGTGAGATCCTGAACCATCGCTGTATGGTATTCACTTGAACTATTCAAATTAGTCATAAATACTGGTTATCTATTCACAACAGACGTGCGTGCGTATTAAAGTTACTTACCTTTCCAGTTTTCTCATTTAACACAAACCATCTTTTACTCCAACCATTATTTTTTGTGCTTTTCTTTAACAAAAAGCCTGAACAAATGTAGAGAGAAGGAAAAAAATTTTAAACAAATCATCAAAGATGGGCCAACAAATTTTTAACAAAATAAGAAAGGCCCAATAATTTTGAGCCAAAGCACAACTGCAAGGGGGAAAAGAACTGTGTGAACCTGCTGTTATTTCTCCATCTGGTCCAGCAATCTTAAGTCCAGATCCTTCTTGCGCATCTTTATCTTTGTCATGTGGATTGGATTTGTTGTCCTTCAACGATTTTAAGCTCCCTCCACTTTGTTGTCCTCCTGTTTGAGGACTAGTTGCCTGAGATACATGAGATAGAGGAAACAGGAGGGGAGCAAAAAATTAATATAACAGTCACAAAATTGTACCATGTGCAATTGCGTGGCAATACAGAACAAAAGAAGTCACCGGGATTCTAACTACATGCATCATTACTGAAAGTCATACAAATCATACATATTGCAGACATCATAGGATTTTAAAAGGATTTCATTTTCGACAATAAAATACAAACACAAGGATATTATACCCTGTTTAATATGGACTGCTCTGCATCAAGCGCCTTCTTGGAAGATCGACCCTTCAACTCTTCTTCACGCCGTTGTCTATCCATCCTGCAAAACCATCAAACTCAAGAACTGTAAATGAGCACCAATGCAAGAAACATAAAACTAGATCAGCTGTTAGCATACCTCCTTTGCACTAAACGTATAAAATGTTGTGGAGGAACAAATGCACGTTCCATGTCAACGAGTGCAACTACCATGTTTTTAGCTTCATTCTTGAAGCCCTCCAAAGCAGCTATAGCAATTGCCACAACCTACACAGATTTTAAAGTAAAATAGATCACGAGCCTAAGATACACACATAGCTTCAGTAAACACATATAGCTTCAGTTAACATAAAAGAGACACATATTCGTGTTTACCTCTCTCTTAAAAGGAGGGTATCTTCCAAGGCCTGCCGTGGCATTGGCAGCAGCTGAGACAATATCGACAAGAACCCGATGCACCTATAAAAAAACCAAGAAGTTAACAGAGAACATGTACAACATCAACAGGCCATGGAAATGGATAAACAAAAATAACAATGAATTACCTCATCCACACAGAGACGTGAAGGTTCTTTTGCAAGCTCCAAAACACCCTTAATTAATGATCTCAACCCTTTTTCAGGAGAGATAAGATAAGGTTGATAGCCGTCTGCTTCAAGCACAATCTAAAATCGGTCTGGAAACATCATACGGCAGACAAGACAAAAATAGACTACTAGAAAGCACACATGGCATAATGGAAAACACATACCCTTTTAACATTACTGATGTCAAAGTGCCTATCTAAAGGAAGTTGCTTGATCCTATTGGGGAAATTGCCTTCAAAACTAGCAACCACTTTCCACCCACCTCCCTGAAAAAAGCAAGATACTTCAAAATCTAAGCATTATCCCAACAGAGTAGAGCTTGGATACAACTACAGCACAACAACACAACATGACACAAAAACTGACATCCTGCGGAACAGACCATTATAGGCAAAGGAGTATAATGAAGATAACAGTAAGACTGAAAAACGAGTTCATAAAATAGAACTTCATTAAATCTAACTAGGACCACAAGAACCTAACCACTGCAAGTAAATTAAAATAAAATTGCATAACCTTCCCATGAGTTCAGAGCATCACCTCTCCTGTTGTGATATGTTGGAGGAACTTGTCCTCAAATTCACGGCAAAGTTCCAAGGCTAAAGCTCTGGTACCCTCAGAACTCTGAACCATCTGTTCACCAAGTCTGAAAAGTTCATCCTGCACTACCTGGGACTTTCCCTGAAGCCTGAAGGGGTTGAAACATCAACAAGACAGTAGATAAAGGTATTACAGATACAAATAATATACAAAAAAGAAACATCTTCTTGAGGAGACTTCTACTTATCAATGAGAACTTGTATATTAGTTATTGTTTCGAAATCTGATGTAAAGATACAAACAATTAGATACCCAAAGAAAAAAAAAAAAAAAAAAACAAAACCCTCTACAGGACACTTCTACTTATCAACTCAGGGCTTGTTCTTTAGTCACTTGTTTCAAACGTTGGCTCATGGTAGTGCTCACTATTTAGTTGGGCATAAGTAGAAATGGGAACAATAAAAAGATCTACTTATGCTTTACAAGCAATTGCTTGACAAAAGAACCACACATGTATTGCTAGGAAGAGGATTACAGAAAGAAATACTCCAGAAAGTGACATAATGAAACAACCTCTTCCACATGACCAATGAAAAGGGAGAATAGGAGACGAGAAGATTCATTAGGGAACATACCCTGAAAGGAGATTTGGCAGCCTAATTTTCATGCGATTTCTAATCTGTTGAGCAAGGGTTTCAACCAAGGCTAATCTCCCAAGTTTGCTTTGAGGGGCTCCCGTTAGTATAGATTTTAAACTCTCACTCTCTGCCCGCCACGCAGTTTCCAAGGAATTATCAGCTCCAACACTCCCTGATTGAGCAGAAGCTATAGAGACAGACTGGCCAATCAAAGCAACCCATGGGATGTCGGATGTACTTCTAGGTCCTTGATTTAACAAAAGAGCTTGCACAGCAGCAAGGACTTTCGGTTCTGAAGATGCTTGATCTATCTTGCTAATTACTCCAACAGTTCTTGTACCTAAACAGTAGAAGCCAGTGCAAGTTAATTACGAAATATGTGATCAGAAGAGAACTCCATTTTCAAATTCATAAATCAAAATAATATCCGGTGCAGACTCACTTTCTCCATCAAGTTCCCTGGCGATTCTGATGGCTTTGGCTGAAGCTACCTCTGGAGCTTGAGCGGCAGGTATTACAACGAGCAATATTGCATCACTACGTTCAGCATACTGACTCTGAATATGAAACGGGCTATTATTATACTAAAATAATGTGAGAACATTCTAATGGCTTGAACATAACTATTATTATTACTATCATGAATCACCATCATTTTTATTATCCAGCACACTAGGTCCAAAAATAAGAAGTTTAGCAAGATGCCAAGTCTGAGGTTGGCCATTATGTTTAACTATTGAACTATTCAGAATTAGTAATAACATTTTATCACAATTTTGTTTCCTAAATAGTAAATACTACACATCATTCAGAGACATCATTCAGAATGAAAGAATTCCTAACTTATACCCAATGCTGTTCAGTATTTAGAAGCCACTCACCAAGGAATCGTCAAGGTTGCTCTTATCTACACCAGGCAAATCAATTAGTTTCAATGGTGGAGCTGCAAAACATAGAGTTAAAAGGTGGATAAGTAACCTTACTGATAAACAGTCTGGGTAGAACTCATCCTAAAAGCTAGCTCAAAGGGAGAGGGTTTTCAACTTACACGTGCACAATAACAACCCACTAACTAGTCGACCTGAGACAAACATAACTTCTGACACCCTCACGTGCCAAAGCCAAATGGGTTTGAGTCCAAACCCAAATTGACCCCAAACAAACAAACCTAGCTCTAATACCATGATAAAGGGGTCTGGATAGAACTCATCCTCAAAAGCTATTTCAAAGGGAGAGAATGCACAACCCACTTATACACAATAACAGCCTAGTAACTAATTAATATGGGATAAATATAACTTCTAACACTTACAAACTGCAGATGTTCACTTTGTTGACAACTGCATAGTAGGTATCTCAATATCAAGTCGGAAACACTGGTGAGGTAGTGAATTGAGTTTTCTAAAATTTTCGAAGATTGGGTATTCAGGAAATTGTCACTTGACCATCAAAATGTATTAAAGTTGTTTTACATGAAACCAGAAATGTATTTCTCTCCGAAAGTAATATGTTTGGCGTATCGCAATCCATGAAACAGAGAAAAAACCATTTATGCACTAATGTGAAGTTTACTTAAAAATTTTCTTTTCTACTTCATGACAAAAAATTATTGTTCTTATATACAGAAAGGCTTCCAAAGTAAAAGCACAATTTGTAGCTTCCTTACAAAATAAGTAAATCGAGGCAACACCTCATGCAATATACCTGTACTCGTACGAAGCTTCAAATATATCTCATCACGACTTTTCCCAGATATTTTGCTCAACCTATCTTGTAATGAATGTCGAAGAGCACCTATAATCACAAATTTCAAGGAAAAAATGTTACAGATAACCAGGAAACAAAGGTGGTGCCCATTTTTCTCCTTCGCGAAATAAAAGTTTGTACTCATCTCTATCCTGCTTTAAGTTAAAGTTTTGAACAAAATATTACACATAACCAAGGAAACATAGTTGGTGCCCATTTTGCTCCTTCGCGAAGTAAAAGCTTGCACTCATCTCTATACTGCTTTAAGTTAAAGTTTTGAACAAGGACTCACTTGCAGATACTGGCTGAGATTTACTATCAATCTGCAGAATAATGGATTTGGTACTAAGCGAACTATCCCTTGCTAAGTCAATACAAATTGGAGCCCGGGTTGCACCACCTTCCCCAGTTGGCTGCAAATTACGTTTATCTTAAAAAAGGTTTCCCACTTGAGCAAATTCAAACAGAACATGATGATAATATGTGAAGAATCTATAAGACCTAAGTACTTACCAATGCAGGATGTCCAATTAGACTATTCAGCACTGCAGACTTTCCTGCACCCTGAAAGTGAATGTAAATGTATGGAATTCAATGCCTAGTTGGAGAGAAAATGCATAAACTTTACATATCGTCAATTTCTATGCTAAGGAGGATACCAATCCTTCAACACACTTCTAAGCCCTTAAGAAAACAAAGCACACCACTAAGCTTTAACTGGGAACACTCCCATTAACGTTTCCAAATAAAACTGGCATTGCATCAATGCGGCTACCACATGTAGAATCACATTTTTCTTGATATACAATTTCAGTGGGTACTGTAGTATAGTCATATTAAAAAAAAAAAAAATGAATACGCATGAAGCAAGAACCAAAAAGTGAAATTACTGCATAAATCAGCCACCATTTTAATGATTGTAATGCAATCCATGCTAACTTCTCTATCTCACACACAACCATCAGTCGGAGTTGACAATGATCAATCATCAATGTAAGAGATACACCAGTTGAAAAAACATGAAAATGTCTTCTATCTATATATTATCATTTTGCAGTTGAAGTGCATTGAGCTCAAGCTCATTTCATTTTCTGCTCCTCATCCTGAAAAAAGTAGCCTAGAGTCCACATTTCAAATACTAATCATCTACTCTCATATCAATCAATCACCGAGCCAAATGACCCAGAATAAATTTATCACACAACGCAGAGATCACCTCAGCTGCAATTTCAAACTGAATGAAAAATCCCAGATCCAAACACCAGCTAACCCCAACCCCAGAGATCTAACACCACCCAAAACCGCTTACGTTAACCACAAAACAACCAAGGGAAGCAAAACTCAAAACACCTCCACAATCATTCATACTCACAGTGTTCCCGAGAGCAACAACATTGAGGAAAGTGGATGTCCGCTTGGAGGCAGCAGAGGACGCCGCCGTCTCGTCCACATCTTCATCCGCCAGCAGCGCCGACGCCTGCCGCATCGAATCTGAGAGCTGCAATAATTCCTCAATGGCCTCCATGGATTCCTATCAATCTCCTCTAGTCTCCCCAAAATCCAATCGAAATAACAAAATCAAGTACGATTTGCTTGTAGCTAAACCACTGGATCGAGCCACCAATTACCGCAGATCCACTCGAATGGGAGGGGATCGAGTGAATTAACAGCAGTATATGAGAGTTTTATCTATATGTTCATGACAGGATTTGTATAGAATTTAGGGTTTGAGGAGATTTTGAAAGTTTGAACTTTCGAAAATTGGGGAGAAAATGAAAAATGTTTGGAAAGAGAGGAGAGAGAATTAATGGGTGGTGATATGGTGAAAGGTCTGTAGCGATGATGTATTCGAATATTTTTAAAGCGAAAATATTGTTCCTCACGGTAATAATAACTATAATTTCATAACGTACTGAGAAACTTAAATTTATGTTGTGACGTAACTAGAACCAAGTGGCTCCAGCTTGTTTAGTTAATGAATAGAATTTTAAAAAGATCAATTTTTTATATAATATTTTACGACTTGTTAAAATTAAGTTCGATTCATTGTTATAATTCGAACATAATTCGTTAATATTGATAAATAAATCGAACTAGCTTGGGCCAAAAGTTCACATTTGTGCATTTTATGTGTGATACATTGTTGATACTCAATTTAACAACGAATCAATAAAATAGCGACACCGTAACAAAACAAAAAGGAGCTTAAAATAGCTCAAAATGCTAAAAAATTTATACATAAGTAGATTTTTCTAAGTAAAGTTAGAATCCGACCTGGTCTACTTAAGATGACCAGAACCTCAAATAAAGAAGTCTTCAAATATTGATCTGAGATGCTGACAATCCAACCTGAGATGTTGTCCCACTGATTAGAAGCTCAAATAAGGACCTGACAATCAAAGCCGACCTGGCCCTCATATGCCGACTTGGCCCTCAGATGCTGACTGGGCTTTCAGATGGATCCGAACAGGTTGACCAGCTACACCAACAATTGAGGCCATTAAGGTTCTTTGTACTATACATGATGAATAGCACTAAAATTATAAAATGTACTACATTATAAATTACATATAGCCCCAATGATGGAGAGAAAAAGGGAGAGAGACCATTTCATTCTCTGAGAGGCATTCTTCGTATAGAGGAAAAAGGATATTTTCTTCAAAAAATTCAATAAGAAATGGATATTCATCCATTATATTTGTTTTATTAATTTTTATATAAAATTCGATTAATATTTTGGTGTTTGATACAATTTTTTCTGTCGAACATACATCAACAATAACCATTGTAGAAAAAAAAACACAAGAGTTTAATAATAATTAATGCACATTTATTTAAAAAGTATGAATTTAAGGATTGAATAAAACTAAGGAAGGTTCAAAGAACTAGTTTTAAATAATTTAAAAGTTAGTTGCTTTTTTCAGGAGTTCTCATATATGGATTTAATTAACCAATACCTCTCAAATCTATAAAAAGCTAACCTTAAAACATGCTATGAATCTTGTCTGGCAATGATTGACATGGCACAAATGTTAAAATATGCATGTACTTATACAGCATTCATTTCTACAACTGTTGAGTTTATTATACAGAACAAATCCCCAAAAAACTTTCAGTAAAGGTGGCTTGGAAGAGTAGGCTCCATAATAATGGAAATAGGGACTTTAGGATGTGTACTGAGGCCATACTCCTCCTCCATGCATATATCCTCACGGCTCATGCCCTCGGTCAATCTCAAATCGAACCCGTGTAGCAAATTAGCCAATGTCGTTCGGACCATCTTAAGCCCGAGTCTATACCCGGGACATCTCCTCCTTCCCGACCCAAACGGCAAAAGCGCAAAATCGCCACCCAACAAGTCTACCTCTTTACCTAAAAACCTCTCGGGGGAGAATTCCTCTGGCGCAGCCCAAGCCTGTGGGTCCCGCCCGATGCTCCACATGTTGATTAGGACAGTTGTTCCCCTTGATATGTCGTAGCCTTTGACTTTGCAGTCTTCAAGCGCGTAACGTGGCGCGAGTAAAGTGGCGAGCGGGTGTAGTCTCATCGACTCCATGATGATGGCGTCTATGTAAGGAAGTTGAGAGAAGTCATAACTCGTTTACCCATCTCTTTCTCCCGATCACCCTGTTGAGCTCCTCTCTAGCCTTTTGGATTACGTGAGGGTATTTGAGGAGTTCGAGGATTGTCCACTCGACTGTGGTTGTTGAGGTGTCTGTGCCTCCGAGCAGTAGGTTCTGCAGATAGATGTTCTCGTATAAGATAAATCGAAACGTTGAGTACCAGAACTAAGGGGGTGTATTCATTTGGATTTTCTAAAGACTTTTTAAGACTAAAAAAACCCTTATGTATTTAATTTAGACTTTTTGAGACTTTTAAAAGTCTCGAAGTATTATTTGAGAATTAAAAAAATCTTAAAAAATCTGAGATATTTAACTGAATGGGATTTGTTAAGACGATTTCAAAAGAAAAAACTATATATGGAATTATACTCTAAATCCCACCGACACACTTAAGATTTCATAGTATTCTTTCAAAATATGAAAATCTAAAAAGTCTCAAATCTCAAAAAGCTCGAAATCCCTAACGAATACACCCACAAAGGACATATCAAATCCAAGAACCAAGATTTTACGAGTTAGTATGAAATTTTTTAGAAGGTAGATTTCATGTGTTTGTAAGAAAAATCTTAACAACTCGAAAAGCTAGATTATATTAACTCATACAGTATATACCTGTACTAATGCCTTGACACGATCACTTGTCATCTTAACGTCAAGATTTTGATTCTCAGAAAGCTGCAATAACACATCCACCACGTCTTTCACCGTTCTCTGATCATCACCCGTTTTCCTAGCCTTTCGACCATCAATCACATAGCTAAGAAACCGGTCGAGCTTCCTATTCAAAGCCTTCATCCTCTTCACGTACCCCTGAAGATCAAGAAAATCGAGCCACGGCACCCAATCGCCAATATTAAACACCCCGCTAAGGAAAAACCACTCGTCAAGCAATCCCTGCAGCTCATCCAGCGTCACAATCGATGGCTCGTTAAAATCGCTGAAGACCATGCGGCATACGGTCAAGAGTGTGTAGCGCATCAAGTAATCCCTGAGCACGACGGGCTTTCCCGACAGAGAAAATAGTCGGGAGATGAGATTACTGCTCTCCTCAGCCCGGATCTTCTCGGTTGATTCTAGACTCTTGGCGTTGAAAATCTCTGACATGTAGATTTTACGAGCCTGCCGCCAGCTCGGGCCGTATGGGGCGAAGGACATGTCTGAGTAGTTGAAGGATAAGTACTTGCCGCTTGAGAGTGGAGGTCGGGAGGCGAAAACCGCGTCGTGAGTCTTTAGGAACTGTTTGGCCATATCAGTGGATGAGGCGACAATCACGGGAAATGTACCGAATTTTAGAAGCATTATTTCGCCGTATTTTTGGGATAGGGAGTGCAGGGATTGGTGGGGGATATTGTGGCCGATCAGGTGGAGGTTGCCGATCACTGGCCATGGCTTTGGGCCCGGCGGAAGTTTGGGTTTCGGCCCGCGGCATGGGTTGTGGAGGACGTTGGTGATGATGAAGGCTAGTGTGGCTAAGCATAGTAAGGTATGTAATGGCCACCAGGTATCCATTTTTTTCTTTTTTTTTTCTGTTTTGTTTTGTGGGAAGTGGTATATTGGTGAAGGATTGTTTTGTAGCCAAGTGTATTTGTAGTTGAATCAAGGGCCTCTTTGTGAAGCAAAAATTCTATAATATTTTCAATTATTTGTGGAGGAAAAGCTGGCTTAGCTATTCACGGTAGCCCTTCTCGAGAATTCTTCTTTTAACTATCTAACTATCGCTCTACACCATACTTTTTCAATTGAAATGCATTCATTAGTACACAAGTGATGTGCTTTGAAACACAACATAAATAAGAATATGATAGTTTTTATTTAATATAAGTCTGTATTAATTTTTGTTTACAAGTGATATGCTTTGAAACACAACATAAATAAAAATATGATAGTTTTTATTTAATATAAGTTTGTATTAATTTTTGTTTATAAAATATGGCGGCTCAACCTGTCGAACCTGAGTTATATGCATTAGTTAAGTCATATTGATCACTAGTTCAGTTACAGTGCACAAAGCTGAGGGCAAAAGGGTCAATGGCCCCCACTAAATTATTTGAAAAGAACGGCTATGTCAATTTCTCTGTCTGTCGCTATTCACTTGATTTAGATTTTTGCAATGAGACATTTTTGGCAAGATGTCACGTGCTATTTTCTTCCACATATCAGTTGCGTACTTGCATTGCATCGGTTTCAAAAGA